AAAGATGTAACAAGATCCAGTGGCTGGACGCTGCAGCTAGACAAATTCAAACTAGAAATAAACTGGAATTTTTTGAGAGTGAAAGCAATTAACGATTGGTACAACTTGCCTAGAGAAGAGGTGGATTCTCCATCATTTCAAGTCTTTAAATCATAGTTGGAGGTCTTTCTAAAATTACACTCTATTTTAACCAAAAGTTACAGGCTTGATGAAGGAATTGGTTGGTGAAATTCTATGGCCTATGTTAAATCAAATTAGATTATCATAATGGTCCCTTGTAGCCTTAAAATCAATTATCTGAACCACAAAAGTTCAGGGGGATTCACGCAAAAGATTCCAGTTTTCAGTTACCTCTGGGTTCTTTTCTTTTTAATCCTACCTCTGCATGTGATGTTATGAACGCATTGCACATTTTTATTCTTATAATTTCTACTCCTAGAGTGAGCTTGGAAAAGTTACTTCCCTCTCCTTGCGTCTTGCTTTTGAATGTCCTGATGTTGTTTTACAAGCTTCCTGTGGTCAAGCAGTTTGCCAGAATTTGCACTGACACCTGGAGTGGAGAAATAAAAGCTTCAGAGACATCAGGTTATTAAAGCTGAGAGGCCATGCTGGGAAAATAAATTGCCACCAGCATGAACTGAAGTAGAAATATTTGTTAACTTGCCTTCAGCCATGGATTTTTCCGTTTCCAAGTAAAAATACTTTATTTTTTTCTTCCATTCTGGTCATTTGTTTTGATGATCCAGAAAATGGCTTTGTTTTCTTTCCAGTTTTAACCTGTTTCCTTTATCACCCATATAATAATTTCCTGGGCTGAGAATGCTCATGGACTAAACTGTTGTGTCTCAGCTAGCACTTTTGAGAGATAGCAAGAAGAGAATCTTGCAGCAAAGGAAGATAAAATAAAAATCATGTGAAAAAAAAACTCTAAAACTCCATAAACCCCATAAAGGGCTTGATCCAAGGCCTGCTATACTCAATGGAGAGACTCCAATAGACTTTGATCGGCTTGGGATCCACCCTCCCTCTCCTTACCCCAATTTTTTTTAAATGCTATATTCCGAGTATCCTTTCAAATTGTTTTCCGGCCTCAATGGAGAATACCAATCAAGAGCTAACCCTTTCTGTTGCTTCTAAGTTGTTGATTATTTTTTTACTTGTGATTTGTGTCAAGCTACATTTGGATGGAAATTGGAATTCAGTTACAAAGGCGCAAAACTATCATTTTATTTTTTTACTAGTTACATAAAACTACCTTAAATGTGCTGGATACACAAGAAAAAAGTTTATCAAAATATGTTTTGCATTTAAAACTAACTGATTTATTAAACACAGGAAGTATTTTCTGTAGTTAGTGAACTGAACTGATTATTTATGCTCACCATGTCCCTCAAGATTTTAGAACTAATAGATCTCATCCTCTCACGCCTAATTTTTATTCATAGATTGGAAGAAGAAAACCAGCTTTCCTGCTTTTTCAACTCCCAATCTGTTTCTCAACTTTGAATGAACTAGTCATTGAACTGAACTAATTGAATAAACTGAAATGAAGAAAATATCCTTTCTACCCCTGCGGAAGAGGCTGCTGCTGTTAAAAGCTGGTTTAGCACTTCAACAAACTCCAGTTACAGGTGCTGAGCCAGTGACTTCTACCAATTCAATGGTCTGACTTTCTTTAAAACTTGGCTATAAATATGTACTACTTAATATTTTTATTTAATTTAAATTATTTTAATAGATATAATAAATTTAGGCTTCAGCATAGTTGGTCCTAATTTCAAATTTAATTTTAAATAGGTTTATATTTAACAAAAAATTGTTTAATTTCAATTAAAAAACTGATTTAAATTAAAAAATCTGTTTATTTTAATATTTTTTTACCCACCCTGTACTGAAATCAGTAAAAATATTTCAATTGACTTCAGTGGTCTTGGGGTCAGTCTCCTGCAAAACATGCAGTGGGCTACTGTGAAACTCACAGCGAATCAAAACAAATAGAAATATTACAAAAATCATTTGTGTATTCCGTGCATGCTCGCTTTTTCCTCTACCAAATTAGACTCATACAGTAGGTTAATACATCACTGGAGAATACGGCCTCTCATATTTTGCATTCTATTATATTAGGGTCTAATTGAGGCAATGGGCCTCATTCACCACTCACTTACACTCTTTTCCCTCCACTGACTTAAAAAGAAGTCGCCTGATTGACACCACTAACAGTAAGGTGAGAAAGAGGTTGTGACCTGTGGGTGCCCAGGGCAGCCCTCACTGAAAATGCCAAGGTCTGTGCAGGTTGCAAAAGGCAGAGCAGATACTCCCAAGACTGGTGGGTAACACTGAAGGTATTCTCCTCAACCAGTCGCAAACTGTGCTTCTGATTCCCCACACTGGTTATCAAGAAGCAAAAAACAAAACAAAATCTCACATAGCCCCCTTTATTGCATTCCAGTTCTCTGGCTCCCAATCAGCACCTAGGTCCAGTACAGTGAGAAGTTATTTAAAATAACTCTGCTCACATATACAAAATGTTCTTCTGACTCCAAAGGTTCAGCCACATTACCAGGTCAGTATAGGTTTGGATCATACCCAAAATACCACACTGCCAGCCAATCCTTTAGTATTGTGACAAAGTTCCTCCTCTACCTTGGTGGGTCTTGCACTTATTGGTGGATTTGCTTTGTTTTTTTTTTTTTTCTTTGTTTTTCATTTTCCAAATCTGTTGAAAAACAGCAAATTGCCAGAGGATGTTGTGAGGGCTAAGACTATAACAGGGTTTAAAAAGGAACTAGACAAATCCATGGAGGATAGGTCCATCAATAGATATTAGCCAGAATGGGCCGGGATGGTGTCCCTGGCCTCTGTTTGCCAGATGCTGGGAATGATCAACAGGGGATGGATCACTTGATGATGACCTGTTCTGTGCATTCCCTCTGGGGCACCTGGCATTGGCCACTGTTGGAAGACAGGATACTGGGCTAGATGGACCTTTGGTCTGACCCACTATGGCCATTCTTATGTTCAAAAATGAATTTTTACAAAAATTCCAAAAAAAGCCCATTTTTTACCATGAACAAATTTCTTTTTTAAAATTAAAAATAGGTCAACAAATCTTGAATAAAGATAAATTAATTCATTGCACCTTTTTATATAAATTTTTCTTGCTATGTTTACTAATTTAAAGATTAGTGACCTGATTTTCAGGAGTCTTGAGCTCCCATTAAAATACCTTGATTTTTTTAAAAAAAAGAAAGACACATCATATATATATATCTATATATTTTTTTTAGGGTTGTTGGTGGTAATTGAGATATTCCTTCCAATATCTAGGAATGGCTGAGTGAAGCCAAGGAATATCCTTCCGCTCTGACTCCTTTTGGGATATCACTTGGTTACCACTCCATTCCCTTCTTGTAATGTCAGGATGAGGTCACCCCAGGGTGAATTAGAATCTTGACGCATGGCCACCTCTAGGCCAAGGAGACTCGTCTCCCCTGAGAATGCTGGCTCATAACTTAATGAGACTTTACTTGCAGCAAGAGATATCTCCAGCTTGCTCCTCGCACCCCCCACCCCTTCATTTTTTTTAATGTAATTGTTTCTGGTTTTCTGCCTTCTCATTGTAGGAAATGTCACATTGTTTAGTTATCAGCACGCTCACTTGGAGAAGTTTATTAAAGGCGATGTGGAGTTTCTGACATACCAGTGGCAGAGAAGTAAAATGAATTTCATGGCTGGGTTGCTAAAAAGCTCTTTTTTATATGGGTGTATTTAATTTGACTATTTTTTTATTTAAGAAAATTGTTGCCCGAAAGGCACGGACTGGGTGGGGTGGGAATGGCAACTGAGGAGTGAAGGATATGATGGGGATGGGGAAGAAGATTCAGTTGAGTAGCACTGTGTGTGATGCATTGAAGAGTGGAAGTTGCCACAGTTAGCTAAGAACATACCATGTTTTATTGGCTCATATACCGGTATTTGGAGACCAGATCAGCAGCACTGATCATTTTCAGTTACAGTGTCACACTTGAGAGTGTGGAAAATTACAGTGCCTCCCTGTATGCATTACTTATTCATTCCTCCTCTTCTATCCCCTCTCCTTGACTTCAGATGGTTACATTATATACATGCGGTTGACTTATGCATAAAATGGATGCTCACGTATCTGAAATGTGTTATTTGAGAGAGTCTGGAGTCTGCTTACTGTGCCCTCCATCGTCCTGGGGCAAATCCTGCTGAAGCACATGATGATTGCACCAGTGTATGTGAAAGCATAATTTGGTGTGGTTGGTAGGGATTTACCATATAGTTATACAGTGGTTTTCATGAAAAAGATGCCAAACTATGTACAGGAATCACTTTACTCATCTCTGAAATTCACTCAGTTCTGGGGTGAAATGTGGCAGCTGTTCAGCAGCGCTCAGTAGCATGACATAAGGGTTTAGGAACAGCCAGGAACAAGAATAAGCATAGGCAGAATGTATTTGCCAGGACACCTGGCTTCACATCTCTATTCTCAGGAAAAGAGATCTTCAAAGAGCAAAACCATTGAGGACCCCAGCTTTATATTTCATTCAAAATTAAAGGTTTTAAGCTGTAAAAGAGAGAACGCGAGAACAATGGAATGCTACACTGCTCCAAGATGTGCAGGAGGGATTTAAGCCAAGTGGCAGGACCTGATCCTGGAGGTAGGTCCTGTCTATGCCACTGCTATGCCTGGCTGGCTCTCTATTATAGGAAAGAAGAGAATGCCATCACCTCTGTCTCCCTGAGATTACCTAAGAGGTCTTCCATCCAAGTGCTGACCAGGTCTTGACTCTGCGTAGTTTATGAAAGCTGATTAGATCACAGCCCTAAGTGGTATGGCTTCAGACAAGAGCACTCTTAAGAATGAGTGTATTCTGGCCGAGGGTCAAGAAACTGTTCTCTTGGGCAGATTCTGTATAGAGAGTTTGTTCTTGCCTTCTATCCGATGCGCGCTGAACTTGGTGCCTGGGGGTCCCGGCTGCTTGTGCCCTGAGGCCCTGGAACTGCAGCCATGGTGGTGTACTGGAGACAGGCTGGGCTCAGCTACATCCGCTATTCCCAGATCTGTGCCAAGGCTGTCAGAGCAGCAATGAAACCACAATACAAAGCTGAGACAGAAAAAGCTGCTGTGGCTACTATAAAAATAGTGAAACCTAAAAAGGAGTAAGGTGATTGGCCCTGTGATGAACTGTATGGACAAAATATCAAGTGAAGACAAGGTCATGGGTCTGCAGATGTGCAATGTAGTCTCTCCATGTTAGTATAAAATCTGTATGCATGTGTAAATCAACATGCTAATAAACTGAACTTCTAGTTCACCATGACCATAAAAAAAAAATCACTCTCCCAAGGTATTGTTTAGGGAGATGGGAAGGAGGCAGGCAGGGAGAACACTTTTCACTGAACTGGAGAAGGTGACCCTGTTGAGATTTGATTGGAGAGCAAAGGTGCACGGCTGCTGTGGTTTTGGATCAGTGGTATGTGAGGCCTGTGTGTGCTTATGTTCAGGTCTGAACTCTGCAGTCAGGAGTCATTCCTTTCAAGATGCAGCACAATGAACCATGGTGAACAGGGGTTTTTTAACTGCAAAGTTCTCAGCAGCTGAAATGGCTAATTCAGTTGCTCTTGTTATGGAATGCCCTAAACTAGTCCATCCCCTTCGGTACAGGAGTCGTATTTAGTCCAGTAGCAATTTTGAATGGGTTTGTGAGATCTGTGAAAACAAGTAATAAAAACTTCAAACTGTGTCAAATGTATTTATAATTAATTTTTTTTTTTCTTCTTTTTTTTTTTTTTTATTCTCACAAGTGATGTGGGCTTTGATAGAAGCAAGCGCAGGCACCTGCTGTTGACATTAACTGGCCAGTTGCTCTGAGGACTTGACACAGACCTTGAGTTCAATAATGTGACACACGGAGATCATATCATTTTTTGGGCTTGGGATGTTAAAGGTCTGATGTTAAAACAGGGTGAGGGTTTTGTTGTTCTTGGTTTGTTTTTTTTAGAAAGTGCATGTGAACATTGCTTATATTATTTTCAGGCATTTGATTCATTATTCTGCATTTGAAAGGCAAATGCTTTCTTAGATAGCCAAACTGGGAAACCCATGAACAGTCATGACATTTTGTGTGGAAGTGGGATAGTGGCCATCTCTGAGGTTTTTCTTTTCTAGATTGAGATGAAGAGAGATATTCTCTCTGTCTCGGAGGAGCAGAGGGTGATAGAGCATAGAGAAAAAAGGAGAAGGTGAAGAATGGGATGAAGGCCTATTGTCTGAGTTTTAATGATAATTTAACTTGGATGACGAATGGTGCTTGGAATGTTACGTTTCATTGTACAGAATGTGGGCAGGAGGTTAGCAGTGATCTTGTTTCATTTCTAAGGACCGTATCATGTAATTGGACACAACGCAAGAATATTCACAAAGAGATATGCTCAGCTGTGTACTGAGATGCCCAGTACCATGCTCCATGAAGAGAAGAAGGCATCAGAGCTTCATACTACAATGATGAATGCTGTATAAAACCGTAAAATAGATGCGCGTTTACGTGCAGCCTTAGTATTAGAGGTAGACAAGGATACAACTCCAGCATAGTCCCCAGTCGAATTCTCTTCCCATCATTGTTAAATGTGTAGTCCTACCCAAAGGGTTGCTGATTCTGAACTGTACACTGCATGCAGACAGTGACAGGACTGAAGGTGAGAAAATGAAAGGTTAATAGGATACATCGAGCAGCAGTAACAGCAGCAGAGATACTGTCTGGGCCTTCTTCACCTCAGGAGGATACTACATGTTTCAGAGACAAACTCAGTTTCAGTGACAGACCATATGGATTTAGGAGCCTGACTTTAGGTATGAAGGTTTGACGATTCAGACCTATCCATATCTATCTATCTATCTATCTATCTATCTAAAAGTGAGAGAGATAAGGTCAAATTTTCAAAACATGACAGAGGCTGTGCTTGCAAATTTGATTATTCAAAAGTGATGGTGCACAAAAAATGTGAATGCAAATGATTGCATATGCTAAATTCTGCATGCATAGTTGGAGGCTAGGTTTGGAAAAATTAACCCATAGATTATCTAACTATTTATCAGACAAGGTGGGTGAGATAATATATTTTATTGGATGAACTTCTGTTGGTGAAAGAGACAAGCTTTTGAGCTACACAGAGATCTTCTTCAGGTCTGGGAAAGATATTCAGAATGTCACAGTTAAGGGTATGTCTACACTGGCAGAGTTACAGCACCGGTAGTTAAAGCGCTGCTCAGAGAGCGCTGAAGGGAAACCACTGTTGTGTGTTCACACTGTCAGCTGCCTGCGCAATAGCGTGTTCACACTTGCAGCACTTGCAGCGGTATTCGGAGTGGTGCACTCTGGGCAGCTCTCCCACAGAGCACCTCTTTCTCTTCTGCCGCTAAGAGTTGTGGGAAGGCGGAGGAGGTTGCGGGGCATCCTGGGTCTTGTCCCAATGCCCTGTGATCCATTGCTTCACATCCCATTAGTTGGTGTTGGTCCTGCTTTGAGCAGGGGATTGGACTAGATGACCTCCTGAGGTCTCTTCCAACCCTGATATTCTATGATTCTATGATCCCAGCAATCCCTGTGCTTCTCTCCTCATTTGGCACCATCTTTTAATGGTTTATGTACTGCGCGCTCTGCCTCTTTGGTCTGCAGGAATGGATCCTGCACTGTCGACCAATATGCTGCTCACTCTCACTAACACATCATGAGTGGCAGTGAAGTTATTCTTTAAACTACAAAGGCAAGAGGAGCTTGACATTGATCTTGCCACTCATAGTAGCTACAACACAAGATTGCTTGTGGCGTTCACAGAGGTGCTGACCACAGTGGAATACCGCTTTTGGGCTCGGGAAAAAAGCACTGACTGGTGGGATCACATCGTCATGCACGTCTGGGATGACGAGCAGTGGCTGCAGAACTTTTGGATGAGGAAAGCCACATTCATGGGACTCAGAGTAACAGCCGTGTTCATCTGTATTCACAAAAAGAAAAGGAGTACTTGTGGCACCTTAGAGACTAACCAATTTATTTGAGCATGAGCTTTCGTGAGCTACAGCTCACTTCTGAAGTGAGCTGTAGCTCACAAAAGCTCATGCTCAAATAAATTGGTTAGTCTCTAAGGTGCCACAAGTACTCCTTTTCTTTATTCATGGGACTGTGTGATGAGCTCGCCCCAGCCCTGCGGCACAAGGACACGAGAATGAGAGCTGCCCTGCCATCAGAGAAGTGCTTGGCGATTGAACTGTGGAAGTTGGCTACTCCAGACTGCTACCGATTTGGTTGCTAACCAGTTTGGAGTGGGAAAGTCAACCATTGGACTTGTGTTGACAGAAGTGTGCAGGGTCATGAATCGCATCCTGCTCCAAAAGACCATGACTCTGGGCAACATGCGTGACATTGTGGATGGCTTTGCAAAAATGGGCTTCCCTAACTCCGGATGGGCGATAGATGGCACGCATATTCCAATTCTGGCACTAGACCACCTAACCACCGAGTACATTAAGTGGAAGGGGTATTTCTCTATGGTTCTCCAAGTGCTTGTGGATCACCGAGGGCATTTCGTGGACATTAACACAGGCTGGTCCGGAAAGGTGCATGATGCACACATCTTTTGGAACACTGGCCTGTTCGGGAAGCTGCAAGCAGGGACTTTCTTCCTGGACCAGATGATCACCGTAGGGGAAGTCGAAATGCCCATTGTGGTCCTGGAAGACCCCACCTACTTCTTAATGCCGTGGCTTATGAAGCCATATATGGGGCACCTTGACAGCAGCAAGGAGTGGTTTAACAACAGGCTGAGCAAGTGCAGAATGACTGTTGAGTGTGCTTTTGGCCATGTAAAGGCCCGTTGGTGCTGTCTATAAAGGAGGCTGGACCTGGCAGATGACAATATTTCTGTGCTTATAGCCGCGTGCTGTACGCTCCATAATATTTGTGAAGAGAAGGGTGAAAGCTTCACTCAGGGCTGGACCGCTGAGGCTCAACACCTGGAGGCTGAATTTGAAAAGCCAGAGACCAGGGCTATTAGTGGGGCACAGTGCAAGGCCATAAGGATCAGGGATGCCTTGAGGCAACAATTTGAAGCTGAAAGTCATTAATATTTGTTGTTATGCTAATATGTTATCAGTGCAAATCTGAAGAAACTCCACTGTTGTCAAGGGGTTAACATTGCTCTAAAGCCAATTTAAGAGGCAAATTGGATCCTTAGGCTATATCTACACTACAAGATAGGGTGTGATTCCCCTGCTCATGTACAGTTACTAGGACTAGCTCTCAGCGAACTCGTGCAAGTATAAGTAGCAGTGTAGCCACAATAACAAGGGTAGCAGCAGCAGTCTCATGGTTCCCCAAAATCCACAAAGACAAGTTGGTGTTTCCAACTCATTTTAACTGTGGAATCAAAACAGAACAGTAGTTTAAGCAAGTATTAAAAATGCCCCACCCAGTTTGAGACAGGTAGCTGCAGTTTTGGGCTTGTTTTGGGATGGTGGAGTGGGGAAGTTTCAAGATTGGGAGAGAGAAAACCATCACTTGTCTTTAGAGCTCCTTTAAAGTTTCTTCATTTCCTCTGGTTTTGTACGTTCACCACCAACAGTCCTTCGCACCTGACCAGTTGCTAACTGCAATCTAAATGGTGTTCAGTATGGGGTATTATTACTGTAATGTCGAGGAACCCTAGTTGTGGACCAAGACCCCATTGTGCTATATTGTGGAGCAATTCTGTATCCATTAGATACAGGCATGTATCTGTTGTTGTTTTTTAAAGAGTCACTTCCTTTGCATGAGAGGTGTGTATTGGGGAGGAAGTAGAGAGGAATGGAAAGACCTGCTGGCAGAGGTTCTAGCTGACAAAACATCATACAGCCACAACTGCTTTTCTGGAATAATAATTCAGCAGTTACAAGCTTCTTTGGCATACCAAAGTCCACAATAATTAGTAGCGCCCGTAGTATCTGAGCATCTCACAATCGTTATCCTTATGTCACCTGTGAGAGGTAGGGAAGTTTTATCCCCATTTTACAAATGGGAAACTGTAGGACATGTTAGATTAAGTGTCTTGTCCGAGGTCACAAAGGAAATTATTGCCTGAGCTGAGACAAAAACCCAGGTCTACTGAATCCTAGTCTAGTAGACTGCCCAATACATGATGCTTTCTATCCACATATTGCCAGCTGTCATACAGGCCTGTGCATAGAGAGTACACTTATACAGTTTTCAGATGATACCAA